CTCTCTCTCTCTCTCTCTCTCTCTCTCTCTCTCTCTCTCTCTCTCTCTCTCTCTCTCTCTCTCTCTCTCTCTCTCTCTCTCTCTCTCTCTCTCTCTCTCTCTCTCTCAACTTGGCACTGTGGCAGCAAGTTTTGCATGACCAAGCACCATTCAATTTCTTCCGAAAATGTAAAGTGTCCAGATAAAGTTAATGTGTAGCACAAGTTTTCAAGAGCTAATTTATGCACTGGCCACATTGAGAATTTAAGGGGGCGTAAAGGAAATTGAAAATACCCATACAAGGGTTCTTGCATGCATTCCGAGCGCCCAGGGAAGCATAAAAAAAATAAATATTGATGTTTAGTAGTGAGTCACTGTTCAGTAAGAATGTGGGACCTTCCCATAATTATGGGAAAACAGAGGATGTACAATTAAAATGTTTGACTAATGTTAAAGGAACACTCCGACTTTTTGGGACTTTAGCCTATTCACCTTACCCCCCAGAGTTAGATAAGTCCATACATACCTTTTTCATCTCCGTGCGTGCTATAAGTCTGTTTGACGCACCCACCGCTAGCCTAGCTTAGCACAAAGACTGGATGTGACTGGTTGCAGCTTTCATACTAATCCAAATGAGTGGCAAAATAACGCAAACGTTTTCCTATTTACATGTTGTGATTTGTATAGTCACATAATGTACAAATAACAAAGTCAAATGAGACACAGACATCTTTTAACCGTATAAAACCTGGGAATTATTCTCTGAAGGCGAAGCACTGCTACTTTGACGGCGTAATAACCGCATCACCGGAGACGTGGTGAGGAGCGGAGAGTTCGCTCGGTGTTTGGGTAATAGAGTCAGCAATTTATAAATAGTAAAAGCGTAGTTTACAGTCATGGGTTTTCGCTCTATTGTAAATAGCTGCGACTGTAAACAGGGGACGTAATACCATGTTTCACAGAATTCCAACTAAAAACGCTGACTGGATGAAGAAATGGCTAACTTACTCTGTATATTTATCCAAACACACCTAAGATTATCAAGGGACATTATGTTTGCTCGGTACATTTCAATGAGGACGACTATTTTGAAAAAATTGAATTTGCCACACGGACCATAATGTGCTGATTCTGAAGGATACGGCCATCCCATCGATAGCACAGACAGGACAAGTGGATCACCTGCGGCTGAGGTAAGTGTTCCGTTATGTTTTTAGATGACCTACTGTAACAGTGCCTTTAGCCAGAGCTAATGTAACGTTAGTGACACTATTATATGATTAGGGTATGAATATGATTTTATCTTGATGCGGTGCGGACGCGCTTGGGAAAAAAAAAACGAGCGCGTTCACCGCGTTGAACTTGCACCCTGCGCGCGGCGCGCCTAGTAGCCTAAATTTGAAATAACCATGGAAATAACGAACTTGAGCGTGCAAAAGGGTACGATAGGCTGTGAGTTCATTGTGCAAAAACAATTTGTGCTATTACTTTCCCCTTATTCTATCCTATAGTAATGCAATACTGTATATTATATAGGCTACTGTTGAATACATTTGGTTCAGCTAATAAATTGCATTTAAAATATATTGATTCCTGTAATAATAATTATTTATTCATGTGATATTTATAAATCTGGGTGCGTTTTTGGTTGGAAATCAATGAAACATGGTACTGTATTACCTGGTCTCCCCTGTTTATTGTCACAGCTCATACAATAAAGCAAACACCCATGATAAACTATGCTTTTCTATCTAACGTTAGTAATTGCTGACTCTTTATTCCAACGCTGAGCGAAGCGAACTCTCTGCTCCTCGTCACGGTGCGTCTCAGGTGATTTTTATCACTCTGCCCAAGTAGCAGTGCTTCCCCTTCAGAAAATATAGTATTTATACGGTCAAAAGATGTCTGTGTCTCATATGGCCTTGATATTTGCACATTATGTGACTATACAAACCACAACATGTAAATAGGAAAACGTTTGCGTTATTTTGCCACTCATTTGGATCAGTATGAAAGCTGCAACCATTCACATCCAGTCTTTGTGCTAAGCTAGGCTTGCGGTGGGTGCGTCAAACAGACTTATAGCACGCACGGAGATGAAAAAGGTATGTATGGACTTATCTAACTCTGGGGGGTAAGGTGAATAGGCTAAAGTCCCAAAAAGTCGGAGTGTTCCTTTAAAGTATAAATGTACCAGTCTATGCAAAGTCATGTGACTGTATGGAGTTAGTTCCGAGTGTCAAGACACAGATAGTGGATCATTTACTCACCCTCATGTCGTTCCAAACCTGTATGAGTTCTTCTGCTGAACACTAAAGAAGATATTTCAACTGTTTGCTCTCCCAGATTCGTCAAATATATTCTTTGTGTTCAGCAGAAGAAAGAAACTCATACAAGTTTGAAACAACTTGAGTAAATGATGACCGAAATTACAATTTTGGGTGAACTATCCCTTTAAGCCTATACTATGACTATACTGCCTTGGATCATATACTGTACTGTATTGCTCAATTGTTGTTTTACAGTGGCACAAAAGCATTTTGTGTCACTGCCTTGACAGAATAAAAAATGAGTTGAGTAGGCCGTACAGAAGTGGGAACTTGTCGCATCATGTGATAGTAAAATCTCCTTTTCCCCCAGCCCATTTTTTCAATAATGAAGGACATCACTGTGTACAAAAGTAAAATTCGCACTGCACTTAACCCCAGGTTATCACTGTTCTAAAACCCCCTTCTTTTTTAACCGCAGGTAAAGGAATGTTTCACACTCGTTATTTAAAAGTGGGGTTAGCACTAGATTAACCCAGGGTTAAGCCCCGGAACAGGGTTAGCACTGCTTTTGCCCTTCATTGTGGTTTCAAAGTTGTACAGTATGAAATGATGCAGTGTTAGAATGTTATTGTTGTGAACCAGCAAAGAAGGAGGAAGCAGGATCCAAATGCAAGCACAAATTTAGAAATTCAGAACAGGAACATAGACAGGGACAAGGCTACAGGCAACATAACATCTACAAGAACTCACAAACACTGGAACAAGACACAGGGTTTAAATACAGAGTCTAACAAGCTAAACAAGATAACAATAGGGCGTGGTCAATCAGAAACACCTGGGGATACCAATAAACTAGAAAACTACAAAGGACTACAAAACATGACACAGAACAGGAAATAACTCAAGTTCACAGAAGACAAGGGAAACACAGACAGGAATCAGAAATGAACCCACACCTTGACAGTTAAAGTAGATGCTCTGCAACCGACATCCATCGCATGCCTCATATTAACGTGTATAAACAGTGATTTTAGCATTTGAGGGGGAAATGTCAAATGGTGACAGAAAACGAGAAAAAATCGCGCAATTGGTGGTTAGAAGAGATTTTTAGAGCCTTACCTTTAGAGCCTGGAAAATCCCTTCAGGGTAAACTTAATGATACAGTCGGAAATATATAATATGGGTTATGCTAGAGCCTTATGCAAACATACTGCATCCAGCTTTCATCCAGTCAGTGAAACTGACACCCCAAATATCCAAATAAGGACATTAACCCATGGATTAGGAATGCATAATGTGAAATGTCAGTTATGAATATTGTTAACCCCGGGTAAATTCTATGAAATGTAAAGCAAGATAACCTAGGATTCCATTTGTGTGAAAAACACTAAAATTACTTTAGAGTGTGCATATTTAAATTGTTAAAAGGGCTCATGAATTGGCTTTTTTATTTTTTTTTATATTGTTGTCTGAGGTCAACTTATGACGTTCACTTGGTTTTTACATTCAAAAACATCAAAATGAATAAGTAATAGGCCATTTTCTAACCTAGTTTTGAGCCTAGCTCAAAAACGCTTGGTTTTTATGGGCGTCTCGCATTGAAGACTTTGAAGTAAACGCCCACTGCTGTGAGTGGATAACAGTTTTGCATATTATAATGAGTTTCACTCGTCAGTGCATATTTATTGCTCGATAGCTCGATCCATGCATGTAATGGGCGAATCGGTGGGCGGGGCTAAACCGGCCGTGTTGAGGTTGGCGTTGATCTTCTTCTGCGGGGGTGGTGTTTTATCCTCTTTGTCTTTACTTTGAAAAACGAGACGTTTGCTGAGCTTGGTGTCAATAAAAGCTTTTATTGGACTAACAAGGACGTTTTCAGTTCTGAAACTTACAGGATATTCTTATAATATGATGACCTCTCAGATGTCAAAAGCTAGAGGAAAATTTGATTTCTCAGTTCATCACCCCTTTAAGATTTTTTTTTTAATTTTGATTGAAAGGCTTACACAACTCTTTTCTGTTGCATGTTGGAAGAAACTCTAGTATATTTTTAAAACTCAAAAAAGTTGCCCAGATTGTCAGCTTCAGTTTTCCATCCACAAATGTCTGCGTTGACAACGGCATTTGCGAACCAACCATTTTTTTCTTCTGAATACGCTCCTCCGGCTGTGACGAGGGATGATTTGAGTGGAAACAGTGCTTCACAGTTAGCCGCAAATTCCCGCTTTTACAGGCCCACAGTGGAACATTCTATACTTAGTCACTGCACTGCCACATTTTCAAGTCAGTTCATGGGGTTTGCCTCCACCGATTTGGATAAAACTGAAACTAATATTCCAGATTTAAGTGGGAATTTGCACAACATAAAAAGAAGACAACGTGGCATGAAGCTTGGATTTCTGATGGGGGTTTTTCAGTAAACACAGCAGACTTATAATGCTCATAGAACTTATAATATTGTCATTGGATACTTTACAATTGTTTTCTTCTGTTTCTTCTTAAATTCTACCCTGGAAATCTGACCCATCATGCCATGAAGGCAAAATGCTTAATGGATGAATATTGTTTATGTTTAGTCTGACAGCTTTCAGTTTCTCATTTAGACTGATTACTAAGAAAAAATACCTGTCAAGCGCTAGATCCAAAAAGATAAGGGTAATAAATCATTCTTTTAACACCTTACTGTGTTGGAAAGTAATTATATTCGTGAAATCAACCACCTAAAAAAGTAGACATGTAAGAACAAAAGAGCGTGGTTTATGTATTTATTTGACGATAGGTTAATTGTCCACAGCCGTTGTTAGTTTGAAGTACAAAAACAAGACCATCATTTTGTTTTCATTTCGCACTTTCGGTTAATATGATTGACTGGTGGAAAGTTTTTGTGAAATGAAAATGGAATCGGACGCCACTTACTGTTTTCTTTCACTGTGATGACATGTTCAAAATGGACTAGGGCCAAATTTTTCATAACAAGAAACTGAAACTTTGAAATTGATAAAACAACAAAGTTCGAGTAGAGATACACTGTATGGTTTGAATTGGCTTTCCAACATATGTTCAAATCTGATTCAACAGAAATACTATACTGAAAAATATTCATAGTATATATGAATGGTTTTGATTTGTGAGATGTTGGCTTGTGCTCTCATCTTTCATGAACAGCAGTAATCTCGTTTTTGTTTATATCACTTTTTGATCGTACTCGAGATGGGGGACATTATTTTCCCGTCCACTTGTGGTCTCTAATATTGGTCTGTAATATTTTCTCAAATATCTTATTAACATGAAGGAGAAACAGCCATGGCCAACATGTATGATACAAAAATTATAAAGCAAATGTTTTATCCTCTCCATCCAGAAGCCTCCTGTATGTGGCTATCTCAGCTTCCAGCTCCATCTTGATGTTGAACAGGATCTCATAATCCAGTGTTTGACTTTGAATGCTTTCACGCAGCTGCATAAGTGCAGACTCCCGCATCAAAATAATGCCATTGTATTGCTCCAGCTGCATGCCATATCTCAACTTTGTTTCATGAAGAGCTTCTTCCAAAGATGCTCTCTGTAAGACACGGCAAAAAATAAACATGAGTAATATGTTCAAAAGTAGGCAGGTCCATCAAGGTGTGCAGGAAGAATCTCTTACACTTCCAGTCAGAGACTGCAGCTCTGTTTCCAAAGACTGCATCTGCCTGCGGCTCACACTGACTTGTGTTCTGGCTTCCTTTAATGCTGCAGTGTTCTCGGTCACTTGAACCTCCACCACAGTGATCTGTACAAAACATAGAGAATTACATTTTTTTCTTGTTTTTAAAACAGAAATTAAGTTTGCAATAAAAAATATGCCCCACTTTTGATTCATGCCAGGCTTTGAGCTCCTCCTGATTCTTGAGGGCGATCTTTTCATAATTGGCTCTCATCTCCTCCATGATCTTAGTCAGGTCCTGTCCCTTAGGAGCATCAACATCCACCTGCACTCCTGAGTGGGCAATCTGACTATATATTCCTGATACTTCCTGAAAAATAGATGTGAGATTCCACAGGGTTAGATCTTGGGCCCTCATACTGTTTTTGTGAGCTACTGCACTCTCTGATCTGTTGTAATTTAATATGATTTTTTATTTATGTGTAATATAATCAAATGTATTTACCAGTTGATGTTGTTTCTTTAAATCGATGAGCTCCACTTTCAATCCTTCAACATCGTTTTCCAAATGCAGTCGTGCCACATTGGTGTCATCCAGCATCTTTCTTAGTGCATTTATGTCTGTTTCAACAGACTGCCTTAGCTGAAATTCATTTTCAAACCTATAGACATGAGATAATGAGAAGTAATACTTTTTTTTATTGCTTTGGTGGCTGGTTGAATTACGGAGAGGTACATTCTCGATTTAGAGTTTCCATGGACAAATATTTGACTCAAGCTGATTCATCAGTATGTTCGTTGGAAAAGAAAGACTACATTTAAAATGCTACAAGTTTATATTGTCAACTTGCACATTTGCAAGTTGTTCTTGACATATAAATAGCCTCACATCTAATATAAATGGAATAACCCCCACAAAACATAGTTTGATTTTATGTAGTCTTCAATGTAAAACCAGCTTACTTGACCCTGTAGTCTTCGGAAGCCAACTTGGAATTGTCAATCTGAACACCCAAACTTGCATTGTATAAAACCATTTCCAGGATCTACGTAAATGAACATAACCAAAAAAGGCACAATACAGCCTATTGTTAGTCAATTATCAAAGGTCAATATAAAGGAGCGGCTTCTCAAGAATTTATTATATGCATTACTCAAGGACACGCTCATGACTTTGAAGTTTGAACTGAGACTAAATCCCTTTCATTACACCCACATCACAATATAGTAATGATCAAGCATTAATGCCTAGTAGTAGAAGCTGTTGTGGATGAGATTGGACAATAATTTAGAGCAATGAATGAACCAGTTAAAACTTTCTGTAAAATTTACATTCAACCTCACAGTAATGCAAATGTCTAAGCAATGAAGAAAACGTGGAAAACGAATAATGAAGCATATTGAGATTTTACAAATGGCAATATTGTTAGAGACTAGTATTTCAGTGAAGAGAAGTTCCAATTACCTCTTTGCGTATTTTATCTAGTGTGACTTGGTAGTGACTGTAGTCCTTAGTATCTGGACCTTTTTTCTCCAGAACCTGACGGATTTTCACCTCCAGCTCGCCATTGGCCTTCTCCAAACTCCTAACTTTGTCCAGGTAGGAAGCAAGACGTTCATTCAGGATTTGCATGGTTACCTTTTCATTTGCAGCATTTCCAACATGCCCCATTTGTACAGTGTTAGATCCAATGATCTCCTTGGAAAAGGAACCCCTGTTCCCAGCACTTCTCCACGAGTATGTGGGTCTTAGCACGCTGAGATCTTCTGATGGCATTCTGTATATTCGTTTGTTCTGAATGCTGTAGTTTTGCATTTTGCTCAATTTTCTGCAGAGAGATCTTTAATGAAAAGGAGATCAGATGCAACTTCTGGTTCTGAGAGGAATGAGATTTTTATCGTTTTACACTTCACAAGATGTGGACACATTTATATTATCTTTAGACTCTGGACTCCCACCCCCCACCCACTGCTTAGTTTTATAGATCTAATAACCAGGAAATCAAACCAATTGGTCTCCTGATGTATTTCTCTCAAGAATTAAAATTCTGTCAACCTTTTAGAAAATATTTTTGGTCCATACAATAAAAGTAAATTTTGTCCAGTGCTATTTTGGACCCTGTTAATGTTCATTGTGCGGACAACCACTTTTGAAACATTTGATGCCAATTTAATTTCATCTCTTTCCTTAAACCACTCACTTGACCTCACTTGGCACTTTTTGAGGAATGTCTTTTAATCCATTTCAATTCGGGAATGTCTTCAAATATGTCCTATGGACTACCTGAATCAAATAGTGTGGTTCATACAACATCTTATAGGAGCTACTTGCATGCTGTCTCTGCATGAATGAATTACCAAAGTCAAGCTTCTTTTTCTGGCCTCATGATATGAATATCTCTTAAATCACAGTGGCTGAAATAAATATGAAAGATACCGATTTCCACAACAAAATGTCTTCTCACAACTGACATTATTTAATAGTTGGTTGTAAAATGCAGTTGTCCTTCTTTCTTTTTGTGAAAATAACTTTGATCAGACTAATGTTATAGTCATAACTAGAGCCCGACTGATAAAGGATTTTGAAGGCCAATACCGATACAAATATTTTTTTGGTTTTAAAATCCGATATATCGGCCGATATTAAAAAAAATATATATTTTTTTGTTCAGAAACGTGCAACAAAACATTAACATATTTCCCTAACATAGTTATTTGTAGTTATTTATGAGTTTTAACTAAAATATTATGATAAAGCATTTAAAAAAGAAACTTGTTTCTTTTTTTGTCACAACAGAACAGAGGAACATCAAAATATATTAAAGTTCTGATAAATAAAATAATAATTAGTCTCTTATCCCTTTACCTGCACTTTTTAAATTCTTTCCATCAAGCTACATCAAACCATTTTCAATCATCAGTTGCTACCTGCCTCCTAAAACCTACTATTTAGCGATTCTAAATCCATTACAGAAGGACAGTCTGCAACGCACACTTGGCGTCGTTGGATTTCACACACATGTAAAAGAAAAGCTAACTTTTATGCACAAGATACGCTTGATACTTTTTCTCTATGTCTAAATGTTCACTCCTCGCAAGTATAACTTACATTTTACAATGCAGGGACTGTAACTAGAGATATGCTAGTTATAAATACAGTAATTATTACTTTATTTAGGCAGAAAAAGTTCATTATGGTTTCCAAGCTCATTAATGTTAACGTTAGCAGTCTTCCACTGATGATAGTGGCATTAGCTACTGTAGCTTTGTGGTCAGCTATTCTATGATGAGCTATAATTTAGCAATAGATAAAGTCATACTGCAAATTGTAAAACATACATTTTCAATGTAACAGGCCAAGGAGAGATGATTGAAGCGTGTTTCGTCCGTTTTTATATCGGCCATTATAACTGCCGATACCGATAGTTTGGAAAATGCCTGATATCGGCAGGCCGATAAATCGGTCTGGCTCTAATCATAACTTTAATGACAGAAGCAGAATGCAAAGATTTGATAAAAGTGTCATCTTTTATTGGAAAAGACAAGACATCATGACAACAACACAACATAGAAACGGAATGGGACAATCTGTGATTCGACGTAAACAATCATCATTACAAAAATATGTAGTAAAGTTTCAATAGTGTTCATTGACATTCAGTCTTTTTTGGCTATAGTCTAAGTATTAAATTTGTTGTTTTAAATTAGTGTTGAAATGTGCTAGTTAAATCTCATTGCATATGTGCTCTGAGACCCTTACAATAAGGCAGTTCTAACTAAATAAATATCTAATGTGTTAACTCCAACCTGTTTTAGATCATTTTATCATTGGCCCAAAAGGTTTTTCTGATGTGTTGTGGAGGTTGATCTGATATTCAATTTGATATTCAGAGTTTCCTCTCTTTGGTCTCTGTGCTTGAAGACACCACCTTTCCATCCACCAGCGTCTGTGTGACAGTCATCACTTTAACCTTCTTTTGCTCGTCAAGAGCATCCTGAAGCCTGCAGGAGAAAAAAAAATGCTTGTTACCAACCACACAAACAAATACTCCAGCAAATCTAGCCACAAATGGTGAACTAATGTGCAAACTTTGTATGCTCAAAAGAAAACTTACTTGAAGTCTCCACCATCGAGAAGCCTCCTGTAGGTGGCAATTTCTGCCTCCAGCTTCATCTTGATGTTCAGCAGAGCCTCGTACTCCTGAGTCTGGTGTTGGATGTTGTTGCGCAGGTTTGTGAGCTCAGACTCCAGTTGCAGGACGACAGTGTTGAGACTCTCGATCTCCATGTTGTAACGCATTTCTGTATCACGCAGGGTGGCTTCCAGGGATCCTTTCTGGAGAATGAAACAAAGAGAACCCAAGAGTTTAGCCAACTTCATGAAGAGACAAATTCAAGACACGATACACACATCTAAACAGGATTAAAGGATTGGAAAGTCCAGATGCAAAATGGTAGCTTCTACAAGGAAAACTCACCAGGTTCCTCTGTGACTCCAGCTCGATCTCCAACGTCTGAATTTGTCTGCGAAGCTCGTTGACTTCTGTACGAGCACCTTGGAGGGCTTCTGTGTTCTGTGTGACTTGTACCTGAATTTCTGTGATCTAGAGAGAGTCCGAAAATTTCACATTAGCGAAATTTCACGGTGTTTAGCAAGACTTGGTCGCAAGAAAATGATTGTCTTTTGGAATATACCTGAGATTCGTGCCAGGCCTTCAACTCCTCCTGGTTCTTCAGGGCCATCTTCTCGTACTTGGCTCTCATCTCCTCCATGAGCAGAGCAATATCCTGTCCCTTAGGAGCATCAACATCCACCTGCACTCCCGATTGGGAGACCTGGTTACGAAGCTCCATAACCTCCTGTTGGGTGGAGAGACCATGAAATATGTCGTAAAGTAACGCCCATAGTAAATTATGCTGTAGACAAATGTGTCCAGATGTGTTAATGTCCAAATGTGCCAGATGTGTACTCACATTGTCATGGTTCTTCTTAAGGAAGATGAGCTCTTCCTTGAGGGCCTCAATCTCGCTTTCAAGGTTCATGCGGTTCATGTTGGTGTCATCGATGACCTTTCTCAAGCCGGTAATGTCGGCCTCTACACCTTGGCGGATGGACAGCTCAGATTCATACCTGCAGGCACAACATAGGTCAATGGGTCACTCTTCAAACCTAGGAAACTAGGTCAAAATGTTGGCTATTACTCACTTGACTCTGAAGTCATCAGCTGCCAGACGGGCGTTATCAATCTGGAGCACTAGACGGGCATTATTTGCGGTGGCATCAAAGATCTACAACCAAAACACAGGAATCGTTTGAATCCGTCAAAAGAGTCACAGGAAACCCACCATTGAACAATACAATGTGTAATTATGATACACCCAAATTGTTTTGCATATGCAAATTTTAGTACATGATGGTCACTGGAGCTGCCACGGTGCCTTGGTGTGCTTAGATAAGAGGTAAAGGAGGACAAAGTCCTTTTCACAGTCCATAATCATTAATCAACTGCCATGTTGGAAAAGCTTGGTATCTGTTTGATGGTTGTAAATTGTGTAGCGGCAAAGGCAGGAGTTGAGTTGGATTTCCTGTTTTTTTTTTTTTTTTCAAACCTGATGTACTTTGTTGTATAAATGCTTTCCATGTTTGAAAGCCAGCATATCCTGTGATCATGGAAAAGGGTGGATATATCATAGTTTAACACTAGTGAGCTCAACATATTTTTCCATATGCTAAGGGGTGTTGGCTATGTATCTACTAACAATGGTTCTACTTAAATGTGCTGTATGTTTTACTTGAAATTAATGTTTATTTCTATATAATATGTACTGAACACTTCAATGAGTTTTTAACCTTTAAACTGTAAAATTCCTTTCAGTACCAAATCTTTTCATCGGGTTAATCGCATGGCTAATCCTATTTACTTTTGTGACTGTAGAAAACCTTGAGGGATAGGAATGTAATTGTTTTAATTTAATCTACCTATCACTTTACTGTATTGTGACTGATGAATGAAAAACCAATCATTCCTATAACACTGTCTGGTTATCAGTGACAAATTAGCTATAAATTTCAGCTTCAGGAAACAATTGGTGTGAAACAGACACTAATTAGTATGTTATCATTAACAGTATCTGCTTTATGAACTCAAACTTTTCAAGATAATGTAGAACAGCAGAAATTACATGAATATAGCTAGCTTTGCTCACAGCTGGGCGCATTTTGCACTCTCTGAACTCCCTGGACTTTTCCATTTTCCTTGTGACACACACACACACACGGAGACGCTAAAACATCTGAGGTCCCAGAGTTTCCATCCACAGGGAATAAACAAAACATCTGAATGTTTAACAGGACAAGCGTTAATACAGGATTGAAATGCTTATTCATTGGAATACCGGCGTCCTGTTGAGACTGAGACTCCCTCCCCCATGCCTTCCCCTGTTTTTAGTTTCACCCATAGTTTATTTTTTGGTTCTCTGCCTATCAGTGCTGGCCATCAGTAAACTCTCTTTCAGCCCCTATAAATCAACACAGCTTTAAATGACAAAGAAATGCCTTTGTTTTGTTAGTTTTTGTCCTGAAACCGAATAAATGTTCACTAGACTGTTAATAAATTCTAAGTTCCACAATTAGTCTGTCACAGTAAGAGTTCTTTATAGTGGCCATAAATTTCCTGTACCCTTCTCCCACTCATTCAAACTAACCTTCTTGCGCAGCTCGTCAACGATGGGCTGGAAACGGCTGTAGTCGTGGACATCAGGACCTCTCTTCTCCAGGGCTTCGCGGATCTTCAGCTCCAGCTTGCTGTTGGCCTGCTCCAGGGTCCTCACTTTGTCCAGGTAGGAGGCCAGACGGTCATTCAAGTTCTGCATGGCCATCTTCTCATTGCCCATGATCTCACC